GCGGAAAAGATGGCTAGAATGGTAGGGGGCCACGTGAGAGGGCTGCTGGATGCGGAAGAGCAGGGGGTGGGTTTAAACCAGAGAATATATTACTTGTGACTCAAGAGTGACGCTTCTGGGAATATATCGTAAGGAAGCCATTCAAAATGAACATGCTTATAAACACCTTTATCCCAGCGGTATTTGTAAAAAGATAAAGTTGGGTATAACAGGTATCTCACCTGTGAGGAAAAATTATGGCACTTTCTCAACAGTGAGGAAAAGTGGTATGAAATGGCGTCTAAAAGTAGTTTATAAAGCTTTTAAATAACATGGGTAAATCCTAATACAATGTGAAGCGAAAAAATCGTGGTATGAAATGGTGCAGTATGAGTGAAAAAGTTTAACATCAACTGCGTAGAAAAATGTCTGGAGGGTTGCAGTCATAATTTTCTTTTGTTGAATTTGAGTGTGTGTGTGTGTGTGTGTGAATTTACCTTTTGACCTTTAAAAAAAATTATCGGAGTATAGTCGATTTTAAATGTGTTCGTTTCTGCTGTGCAGCAAGTGCATCAGTTGTACATACACATATATATCCACCCTCTTTAAGGTTCTTTTCTCAATAAAGTGATTACAGAGTGTTGAGAATACTTCCCTGTGCTATACAGTTGTTTAGTTTCTACATATTGAGGACTCTTTTGCGGCCCCATGGACTGTAGCCTCCTAGGCAAGAATACTGGAATAGGTTGACATTTCCTTCTCCAGGAAATCTTCCCCATCCAGGGATTGAACTCAAGTCTTCTGCGTGGCAGGCAGATTCTTTACCATCTGAGCCACCAGAGAAGGCTCACACTATACAGTAGGTCCTTATTAGTTATCTGTTTTATATATAGTAGTGTGTATGTCGATCCCAGTCTCCCCAGTTACCCCCTCTTTCCTCATTGTTAACCATAAATTTGTTTTCTACAACTGTGGCTCTATTTCTGTTTTGTAAATAAGTTCACTCGTACCATTTTTAAAGATTTTACATATAAGCAATGTCATATGGGAATTTGTCTTTCCCTGACTTTCACTCAATATGACAATTTCTAGGTCCTTTTGACCTTTCTTATGTATTAATTTAAAACAATAAGTGTAAAGAACTTGGAATTATTTTATAATGAAAACACAGTAGATTTGGAAAAACAAGGTGGGGAGTATGTAACTTTAAACTTACTGGAAGCGTTCCAATTCACCTGAGCCCCTTGACTGTCACTATGAGTTGTCTTAGTTTTTTGTTTTTTTTTTTGGCTGTGCTGCATCTTAGTTGCAGCTTGTGGGATCTAGCTCCTTGACCAGGGACTAAACTTGGGTCCCCTGCATTGGGAGTGCAAAATCTTAGCCCCTGGACTACCAAGGAAGTTCCATGAGTTGTCTTTAAAGAAGATTAGAAACAGAAGAATTAAATGTCTGTAGACTGAACACCAGATCCCGGTTCTGGCCATCTCTCTCCTGAATGAATACATTCAGCCTTTTTGCTTCGTAGAGCAACCAGGATTCCTGGTTTGAGAAACCTCATCATCTGAGGGTGGAGAGATTAACAGGTGTATATACTGTTAGCTTCAGGCAAAGATTTGAAAAGATACAGAATAATTGAGGTAACACCTGAAGGTCTCTGTCCTCTTGGTTCTCTGATCTTTTTACTACTAGCTCTGTAACAGTGACTCCCACATCCTTACTTCTGACTGCCTAAGGTGCATTGCTACCCTGTAAACATCTTAAATAAAGCATGTGTGTGCGTGCTCAGTTGCTTCAGTCATGTCCGACTCTTTGCGACCCTATGGACTGTATCCTGCCAGGTTCCTCTGTCCATGGGATTTTCCCAGCAAGAATACTGGGTAGGTTGCCATTTCCTCCTCCAGGGGATTCCCCCCAACCCAGGGATTGAACCCGCAACTCCAGTGTCTCCGGCATTACAGGCAGATTCTTTACTGCTAAGCCACCGGGGAAGCCCACATTAAACTTGTTGCACACTACATTGTTCTTACCTCTGAAGCATGCTCTGCCTTCTGTAGCTCTGATTAATGGTTCATCAGTTTCCCAAGCTGAAAATTTGTATGTTGTCCTTAATTCTCCTTTCTTCCTTTGCACTCATTCCACTTGATAATCTATTTCAGTTGCCTTAAAAGTATCTCGTAGCTACAAGCTTGGCTCACTTTCTCATCCTGACATTGAAATTATCTATGTCCCCCATTTTTAAAATTAATTAATTGATTAATTTTTAATTGGAGGTGAAGTGCTTTTCAGTATTGCAATAGTTTCTGCCCATGGACCCTTGTTAAACTTGTCAACTTCTTAGTTTCTCAGGTCCATTCTGCACAATGTTGCATGAATGTGTACTGGTTTCTCTAAATTCCAAATTCTTCAGCAGGCCCTTTATGATCGGAGATAAGGTTAGAAAGGTATAGCAGTATCAGAAAATATAAGGCCTTCGATGCTTTGCTAAAACATTTTGGAAGAACCTTTATATGTGTAGACTGTGGAGACTCATCAAAGATATTTGAGCAAAAATGCAGAATTACCAGATGCTGTGACTTTTCTCGGGCTTCCTTGGTGGCTCAGAGGTAAAGAATCCACTTGCAATTCAGGAGACCCAGGAGATATGAGTTTGGTCCTTGGGTTGGGAAGGTCCCCTGGAGGAGGAAATGGCAACCCACACCAGTACTCTTGCCTGGAAAATCCCAGGGACAGAGGAGCCTGGTGGGCTACAGTCCATGGGACATCTATAGTCCAAGCCGGTCATCTCAAGATAATTCTGCCCAACACTCAGAGTCCAGGCTCTGTGGAAAAGAAGAGACTGGGGTGAAGAGAATTTCTCCTTATCCTCTTCTATTGAAAAGCAGGAGGTGGTCAGAACCTGGACTAATTATTGTTAGGTGTTTGAGGAATATAGGCCAAATTTCCTTCATTTTTATTTTTTACTTTAATTTATTGAAGTATGATTTATTTACAATATCATGTTAGTTTCAGGTATACAGCACAGTGACTCAGTTTTTTATATATATATATATGTATATATAATTAGTGCTGCAGTGAACATTGTGTTGCTTGTATCTTTTTGAATTATAGCTTTCTCTGGCTATATGCCCAGGTGTTGGGGGGGGGGTGGAGATTGCAGGATCATATGATAACTCTAAATTTTTTACCAAATTTCTTCTTGTTACTAAAGATAAAAATATTAAAATTAATTCTTCTAAAAAATTTCAGTGACTTTATTATCAAGTTTGTTTTTCCCTTATTCACAAACTCTTACCCTGGGCTAACCCTGGCCATACATGCCCTCAATGACATTAGACTAACTTGAGTGGCCTAAAACATACCATATAAATTGCTTTTGATACATAATTGGCCTATTAGGAATTTTCTCTGCCCAGGAAAATGTATCATGCATTATTTATCAATAAAAGTCTTTTAAAAGTGCATAAGTAGATATTAGGGAAGTATATATAATATCTTACACAAGACCAATGGGTTTGAGATGGCAGCCTTCTTCATTAGTAATGACAGAGGACATATTTCTCCATTTAGCAAGCTACTGCAGAGCCGCTTAATCTGACATCATGTGTAGAAGTAAAACAGACCTTTCTGTCTTGGTAAAAGATTCTAAGAGTAGGGACAAAGCTAGCAAAAAGGTATGAGAAAAAAATGCAGATAAATGAAAATCATATCTACTAGTTTGGTGGAGAATATATTTCTTTGGATTTAGAGTCTGAAGAGAGCTTCTCAAAGTTCTGTCTTTGATGCTAAGTAAACCAGGCAGGGTTGAAAAATACCCATTAGATTCAGTGATGTGAGTAGCACTGGTGGGAGGGTGGGAGTTGTTTCAGAAGAGGTGAGAATGGAATCAGTTTGGAGTGGGTTAAGAAGAGAATGAGTGGTGAAGAAATGGACACTGCATGTTTAGACAATTCTTTGATTAAACATTCTCAGATTAAACATCACTTAGAATGTGTTTATTCATCATCATAATTATTTTATAATGTCAAATTGCCTGTTGATATTCTTCAGCCACTTAAAATTTTGTCTTTTTAACTGGCTTACAAGAACTTTTCATAAATTATTTTTTCACATTTGAATGTTTAATTTCATTTTTCAATTAGAAAAGGACTGTTTGACTATATGCTTATTAAAAAGCAATTTTTCAAAAAATACAGAAATAAAGAGGGTTCCACCTTCTCTCTTTTCCCATGTCACTCCTTCTCAGTATGTACTGTGAACAGTTTGGTATGTGTTATTTCTGATCTTTTTCTGCATCTTTATGTAAATATATACAAATACATGTATATAGACATAGAGAGGTGGATTTCTTTTCATAAATAGGAGCTTACTAGATGTGTTATATTGTGAATTTCACTGCTTTGGGGGAGGATTTTTCTGTCTCATTATTCATGGAGCTTCCTTATTTTTTAATGTATTTCCATATTGATGTACATTTAGATTTTTCTCTTATAAAAGATGCTATAGTAAATCCTTATACATATACATGCTGGAGTATTTTTATGGTACTGTGAAAAGTCTTTTCTTTTAAATCTCTTATATTTTTTACATTTTTTTTTTGCATTTGGATCTTTAATTTATCTGGAAGGTGTTTTGTTATCAGATATGAAAGGCAAGTTTCTTAACCTTTTAGAGCTTCAGCTCTGTTGTGTCTCACACAAGAATAATAGTGCTGCCCTCACTGGACTATTACATGGATTGTATTGAATTCCAGGTGACTTAGCACCACATATGGCACATTCTGGATATGTTTATTCTCTTCCTTTCCTTCTAATTTGGCCAGCAAATTCCTACAGTAGCTGGGTGTGTTTATAGGATATTGTCTTTTTGCATATTCAGTAAGAGTCGAGTCATCCTGATATCCTCTGTTTTGACGTGTCTCACATTTCACAGAAAGGCTAAACCAGTTGTTTGGATTTGTCAGGTTATATTTTCATGGTGTAACTTTCCTTCTTAATTATTTCAGAGAAACTTTATCAGAAAGGATGGAGTTGGGACAAGGAAAACTTCTCAGAACTGGACTGAATGCATTATATCAAGCAATACACCCAATTCACGGCCTTGCTTGGACTGATGGGACTCAGGTAGTTCTGACCAATTTACAGCTTAACGGTGGAGAGGCCAAATTGGGGGACTCAACGGTCCTTGGACAGTTTGAACACGTGTATGGGGTGTCCTGGGCCCCGCCTGGTGCCACTGACATACCCACTCTGCTCGCTGTCCAGCACAGGAAGTATGTCATCGTGTGGCAGCTGTGTCCTAGCCCTGCAGAGACAAGCAAGTGGCTGATATCTCAGCCCTGTGAGATCAGACAGTCATGCCCTGTCCTTCCCCAGGGCTGTGTGTGGCACCCAGAAAGTGCCATCCTGACTGTGTTGACTGCTTGGGATGTCTCCGTGTTCTACAACATCCACTGTGACAGTTCCCAAGTCAAAGTGGACGTCAGCACCCAAGGCCTCATTCACTGTGCATGTTGGACCCAGGATGGCCAGAGGCTGGTGGTGGCAGCAGGCAGCAGCCTACATTCTTACATTTGGGACAATGTTCAGAAGACCCTTCAAAGGTGCTCCCTCTGTCCCATGTTTGATGTGGACAGCTACGTGCGCTCAATTGGAGCCACTGTGGACTCACAGGTCATTATAGCCACTGAGCTTCCGCTGGATAAGATTTGTAGGTTAAATGCTTGTGGAACTTTTGACGTTCCCCCTAGTGGTGAAGACACTTGTCTGCATGCTTTACCAGTTACTGATCCAGTTTCCTCTGAAACAAATTCTGAAACACCAGTGTCGTCATCCTTTTCTGAGCCTCTGGATCTAACTCATATCCACTTCAACAGATCTAAATCTGAGGGTAGTTCTCTTACTTGTCTAAGGAAAAAAGACTACTTGACAGGAACTGGCCTGGATTCTTCACATTTGGTCCTCTTGACCTTTGAGAAGGAGGTTACCTGCAACAGAAAAGTAATCATTCCAGGCATTCTGGTTCCTGATCTAATAGCATTTAATCTTAAAGCAGAAGCAGTCGCAGTGGCTTCCAATACATCTAATGTAATTTTTATCTATTCTGTCATTCCGTTATTAATGCCAACCATCCAGCAGATTCAGTTAGAGAGTAATGAAAGACCAAAAGGCATATGTTTCTTGACAGATAAATTACTATTAATTTTGGTGGGAAGACAAAAGTCCACTGACTCGGCATTTCTTCCTTCTTCAAAATCTGATCAGTATATGATTCGTTTGATTGTTAGAGAGGTAATGCTGAAAGAAGACTTTCCAGTGACACTGAGTGAAAACGAGAATGATAACTCTTCTTTCAGTTCTCTGTTAAATAAAACAAATATAAAAAAGCTAATTGAAGATCTTTCACCAGATTTTTTTAACCAAAGCAGAGGGCTCTTGTTCACAGCTAATAGCAGCAGTCAAAGTGGAAGGCCTGGAAGAACCCTTATTAAAGAAACAGAAAGTCCTGCATCCAGCATCTGTGATGGCTCCACAGTCCTAGAAACTCTAGATGCCGGGCCTGTTAACTCGTCAGAAACACTGCCCAGACCCAGCGGTACATCAGCCCACACCAGTACCACAGAACCTCCTAACTTAGAACGGGAAGAGGAAACGTACCGGCTGTCTAAGGAACTGGAAATTGTATCTAGGAACCTGAGTGAAGTGCAGCGATGTCTTTCTGAACTCAGTGACTTTCTGCACAATGGAAAGAAATCCTCTCCAGTGTACCCACTCTCTCAGGATCTGCCTTATGTTCACATCACTTGCCAGGTAACTTCTCTGGGGGAGCTGCCACTGGCTTCTATAGCCCTGTCTGCTGCAAGAGAAATTTATTGTTGAGGCAGTGGGATTCTAATTGAACTTCACTGAGCTGGGCATGTTATGTTCAGGCATGTTGTTATACCTTTTCAGGTTGGTTGGATAGGCCCACAAAGCAATATACACTATGACTTTATCATGCGCATGGTATGAAAACATGAATTCTTGCACTCATTCTGGCAATCTGTTTAGAAAACAAATTCTTAAATCATGCTGTTTCATTGAGAAGGCCTTTTCTTATGTGCAGTTACAAGCTCTCTTCCATTTATAAGAAAAGTTATAGTCATTAAAATGTTTTAATATATCTATGTATACCTGTATATGCAAACATAAAATATTATTTAAACGGGCTCATATAATATCCATTTTATCATGAATACTTTCCCATTGAACTTGGCCCTGCTTCTCCTCCCTGTAATCCACTTTTAGCTAGCAGCTTAATGTGTATCCTTGCATATTTTTCCTTCGTACTCATATAATCTTACACAGATCTTTGCTTAATTCATAGGTATGTAGGTGTTGGGGTGGTGATTTTCTCATTGTTTTACAAACATGGGGTCATATGGTGTGTTCTTTACTTCATGCTGAGAGTGTTCTGTTTATTCAGTTCTTCCCTTGTTGATGAACATTCACTTTGTTTTCAGTTCTTAGCCACTCCAAATAGTGCTGCAATAGTATTCTCGTACATATCTATTTATTTTCATACTTTTATTTCTATTGGCTTGGTTCCCAGAAGTGGAAGTGCAGATTTGAAGAGTGTGTATGTATGTATGTGTGTGTGTGTGTGTGTGTGTGTGTATATATATATATATATATAATATGTATATGCTTCTACTTTTAATAGAGTTGCCAGATTGCCTTTCAATGAATCATCACATGCCCATCAGCAACATATGGGACTATCCTTTTCCTTACATCCTCACCAATCTGATTAATGTGAAGTAGTATTTCACTTTTATTAATTGTTTTTCCCTTACTGTTGGCTATGATGAATGCTTAATCATGGATGACTCTTTGTGGCCCCGTGGACTGTAGCCCGCCAGGCTCCTCTGTCCATGGGATTCTCCAGGTGAGAATACTGGAGTGGGTTCCCATTTCCTACTCTAGAGGATCTTCCCAACCCAGGGATCAAACCCTGTCTCTTGCATCCCCTGTATTGGCAGGCAGGTTCTTTACCACTGTGCCACCTGGGAAGCCCCTGGTAATTCGCTGCTGTTAATTGAGTATATCCTCATGATGTTTTTTGGTCAGTTGCATTACCAGTTTACAAGAGGTTTTTCTAAAGAAATTGATGGATGTGTAGTAATCTAGGTTTTCTTGCATTATTTTATGTACATTAGTTTTTACATTTATGTTTTTAATCATTGATTAAAATTTTCTGAAAGATAAGTAGTTGTGCTGCCAACATTATTAAAAATCCATCTTTATTCCACTGAACTTGATCTACCAAATTTTTCATATATAAACTTACATATCCTGAGTTCTAATTCTGGTTACTTCTTACTGCAGCTACTGTAATACTAGTCTTTGTCTAAAACTTTAACAATACCACACTGATTTGATTACTGTGGACTTATATATCTTTGTTTAAAGATGTATAGATATATCTGTTGTCAGTTGATAGTTAGCATTTTGTAAGCAATAAAGCATTTTAAAATTAAGGTATGAACATCTGATGGATCATCGAAAAAGCAAGCGTTCCAGAAAAACATCTATTTCTGCTTTATTGACTATGCCAAAGCTTTTGACTGTGTGGCTCACAATAAACTGTGGAAAATTCTGAAAGAGATGGGCATACCAGACCACCTGACCTGCCTCTTGAGAAACCTGTATGCAGGTCAGGAAGCAACAGTTAGAACTGGACATGGAACAACAGACTGGTTCCAAATAGGAAAAGGAGTACATCAAGGCTGTATATTGTCACCCTGCTTATGTAACTTATATGCAGAGTACATCATGAGAAACGCTGGGCTGGAAGAAGCACAAGCTGGATTCAAGATTGCCGGGAGAAATATCAATAATCTCAGATATGCAGATGACACCACCCTTATGGTAGAAAGTGAAGAACTAAAGAGCCTCTTGATGAAAGTGAAAGAGGAGAGTGAAAAAGTGTGGCTTAAAGCTCCACATTCAGAAAACTAAGATCATGGCATCTGGTCCCATCACTTCATGGGAAATAGATGGGGAAACAGTGGAAACAGTGGCTGATTTTATTTTTCTGTGCTCCAAAATCACTGCAGTTGGTGATTGCAGCCATGAAATTAAAAGATGCTTACTCCTTGGAAGGAAAGTTATCACCAACCTAGACAGCATATTAAAAAGCAGAGACATTACTTTAACAGCAGACGTTCGTCTAGTCAAGGCTATGATTTTTCCAGTGGTCATGCATGGATGTGAGAGTTGGACTATAAAGAAAGCTGAGCACCGAAGAATTGATGCTTTTGAACTGTGGTATTGGAGAAGACTCTTGAGAGTCCCTTGGACTGCAAGGAGATCCAACCAGTCCATCCTAAAGGAGGTCAGTCCTGGGTGTTCATTGGAAGGACTGATGTTGAAGCTGAAACTCCAATATTTTGGCCACTGATGCAAAGAGCTGACTCATTGGAAAAGACCCTGATGCTGGGAAAGATTGAAGGCAGGAGAAGGGGATGACTGAGGATGAGATGGTTGGATGGTATCATTGACTCGATGGACATGTGTTTGGGTAAACTCCGAGAGTTGGGGTTGGACAGGGAGGCCTGGTGTGCCGCAGTTCATGGGTTCACAAAAAGTCAGACGTGACTGAGCGACTGAACTGAACTGATGTACATTATTAGACATATACAGTTGCACACTTAACTATAGAATATGCACTCTGCATCCTCCATGGCTAAGTTGTGTGTGACTCTTTGTGACTGCATGGACTGCAGCAGCCTAGGCTCCCCTGTTCATGGGATTCTCCAGGCAAGAATACTGGACTGGGTTGCCATTTCTTCCTCCAGAGGATCTTCCCAAGCCAGGGATCGAACCCATGTGTCCTCCATTGGCAGGAAGATCCTTCACCACTGTACCACCTGAGAAGCCCAGAATATGCACTAGGAAACCAAAAAATTTCATGTGGCTCACTTTATTGTGACACTTTTTTTCAGTGGCCTGGAACCAAAACCTGCAATATCTCTGAGGTATGCCTGTTTCTAAAACATCCGAGCAGTTTTTCCTCACCATCTGATTGTATCTTTCTCAGGCTGCCATCCATCATCCTATGGTGCTATTAGTCATCCTAGAAAAACCAATTCCTAAAGATAAAGACATAACCTTGGGGATGAACAGAGCAAAAGGAAATTTGGGATTGTGTCTATCTGATTCTTTAGTTGTGCAAAATAATGCAGCAAAAAGCTCCTTATTTAACACTGAAGTTGATAGTGGTAATAGATAAGACTTTTTTAAACTGTACATTCTATTCTTAGGAAATATTAACCCCGTTGCTTCTGCAATCAGTTTAACAATTTTTATCTTTATTTTTGAAGAAATCTCATTTTTTAGGTCCTGTTGTTGAAAAAAGAATGATGCTTCTCTGCAATGGCAAGCTAAGACTCAGCACAGTCCAGCAGACTTTCGGCCTCTCTCTTGTTGAAATGCTGCATGGTAGGTAAAATTCAGATGGTGACTCTACCCGACATCTCCTCCCTCGATTTTGTGACTGTCAGTGGTGATGAAAATGAAGTGTACCAACCATTCAGTGATTGAGTAGACAGTTAAAAAGCATTATTAATTGTTATTGTATACCTAGGCCTGTTACAGGTGCTGAAGCACACAGAAAATATGGGTTGTGTCCTTAAGGAACTTACAACCTAGTTGAAAAACCCTGAGTGCACACATGAACAAACTAAATAGAGTTACAAAGCAATATGTAACAACTGCAAGGAAATGACAGAAAACCTCGTATGTACCAGTTGCAGTAAAACATAAATAGCATTGCAGAGTATTTCTTTCGTGTGTGTGTGGCGGGGGGAGGGGGCTCTGTGCGCACACAAACATTCTTTCATTTGTTTATTTTATTAATTTTGGGGCCACACCACATGGCATATGAGATCTTAGTTCCCCAACTAGGGATTGAACCCTTGCCTGCTGCAGTGGAAGTCTTAGCCACTGGATGGCTAGGGAAGTTCCTACATTCTTTTTTTCAAAATATTCTTTCCCATTGTGGTTTATCACAGAACATTGAATATAGTTCTCTGTGCTATACAGTAGGACCTTATTGTTTTCTTTCTTTTTTGGGCCATGCCTTGCAGCTTGTGGGGTTTCAGTTCCCCAACCAGGGACTGAACCTAGGCCACAGCAGCGACAGCCTAGAATCCTAACCACTGGGCCACCAGGGAACTCCCATAGAATATTTCTTAAAGGCATTGTCTTTTTTTTTTTTTTATTGAAGGATAATTGCTTTACAGAACTTTGTTTTTTTCTGTCAAACCTCAACATGAATCAGCCATAGAGATCCATATGTCCCCTCCCTTTTGAACCTCCCCCCCATCTCTCTCCCCATCCCACCCCGCTAGATTGATACAAAGCCCCCGTTTGAGTTTCCTGAGCCATATAGGAAGTTCCTGTTGGCTACCTATTTTACGTATGGTAATGTAAAGTTTTCATGTTACTCTTTCCATACATTTCACCCTTTCCTCCCCTCTCCCCATGTCCATAAGTCTATTCTCTATGTCTCTTTAGGAGCCGTCATTTTAATATGCAGCAAATATGCACATGAAGGATGCTCCTAGATGGCTCAGGACAGGCTCATGCCTGTGCTCCATCTGATGGGGAACATGGTGGTTTCAGGACAGCCAACACACTGAACATAAATTTTTTTTTTAAACTTCATTTCATTTTTTTTCCCAGTTAAACATTGTAGCATCAGCATTTTTCTATTTTGACACATGCATTTATGATACAACTTCATAATTGTAATTTTTATTGGGTTAATATTCTATCTTGGATGTACCATAGTTTTTTTTCTTTCAGTTTTATTGAGATACAGTTGACATGCAGCACTATAAATTATACAACATAACAATTTGACTTAAATGCATCATGAAATGATTATCATAGTAAGTTAGTGAACAACCATCGTCTCATATAGATAGAACAAATTTTTCCTTGTGACGAGCAGTATTTACTCTCTTAATACCGTATTTTAGTTTGCCTTGTTTTCTTTGACATTTAAGTGGTTTCCAAGTTTTCATTATCACCAATAACACTAATAAAAACCTTTTTGTATTTTATACATTTTTGGAAAGTGTAGATTTTCAGAAGTGAAATTACAGGGTCACAGTGGACTCAAAAGAACTAGACAAAGTCCAGGTATGTGTTACATCAGTGGTCCTAGGTTACCCCAGAACAAACTATTTAGGATTATCTGGGCACTTCTAGCCTGGCACTAGTCAGCTCAACCTCCTTGGGTGTCTAGAGGCTGGTATGGATCTCAAAAATATAGAAGTTTCCTCCATAGAGTTGCTGTTGCCAGCTTCGCATGGTTTCTGGAGAAACTGCTAGATGGCATTAGAAAAGGTAGGAACACCATACACAACCCCTAACACCAGCATGCACACATGCACACACGGCTCAAATGCATGACACTGACCCTTTAATGCTAGCCCGGGCATTGATACATGTCCCTTAGCTATACCTGTCTGGAGCAGGTAATGGCACCCCACTCCAGTACTCTTGCCTGGAAACTCCCATGGACGGAGGAGCCTGGTAGGCTGCAGTCCATGGGGTCGCTAAGAGTCAGACACAACTGAGCGACTTCACTCTTCACTTTGATGCATTGGAGAAGGAAATGACAGCCCACTCCAGTGTTCTTGCTTGGAGAATCCCAGGGATGGGAGAGCCTGGTGGGCTGCCGTCTGTGGGGTTGCACAGAGTTGGACATGACTGAAGCGACTTAGCAGCAGCAGCTATACCTGTCACCTGCCATCAATATCCCATTCCTGCCAAGTAACCTGACCCTAAGTTTCACCCGGCCCCTCCATCTCTGTAAAGTCTTGTGATGGTCAGGTTCAGGATTATCAACTACTACATTCTTTCCCTCAAAAAAGTTGTATTTGTGATACTTTTCTTTATTGAGTAAGACAGGATATCCTAAATTGCCTGTGTGTTTATTTTAGAATTGCCTGTGTGTTTATTTTACTTTGCAGACTTCCACTGGATCCTTCTTTGTGCGGACAGTGAAGGCTTCGTCCCCTTAACTTTCACAGCCACACAGGAAATAATCATAAGAGATGGCAGGTCAGATGACTTCCGAAACTCTGTCTCAGAGCACTGATAGCAGTCCTTCTCTTGGAGTCTTCAGTGATGGATTCCCCAAAGCGGAGATACCACCGGCTCTTCTGACCATACTGGCAGTGTAGTCTGATACTTATCAGCAGAGTATGTGCCGCACAGCCTCGCAGATGAGGCCCTTACTAACAAGAGCTGTTTTCCAAGGTGGACACTCCCCAGCTGGGATCTGCAGGGCCGCTGGGAGGTGAAGCGCTTGCCATGGCTGGCTCCGCCACTCTTCCCCCCAGGCTGCTGTTCCCTGCTCTGCAGCAGAGCCCAGTCTTTGTTAGATGGCTCAGAAAGCAGTTATTTATGTATTCATGACTGTGTGGTTTTGTCTGAGGGCAGAATTCCCGGCACAAAACAATATTATGGTGCCATATGGATTGTGTTTTATGGTTTCTCTGAGGCTTTCTGTCCCTTGCCCAAAACAGCATTAAAGCTCTTAGAAGCACTTAAAAGGTACCTCAGGATTGTAATAGATCTTGGCTTCAAGTTGAGTGTGAGGAGTGCTGGAGAACATCTGCTCCAGCGTCTCTTTTTACCCTAAATGAGCAGGAATGCACAGAGCTCAAAGGAAAACAAAAAATCGATTCATTTCTGCTCCCAGGACTACCTCGAACAGGAAGTAGTTCTGATGTTGGATTTAAACTGAACCCTCTCACTTCCCTAGAAAATTCTGGCTGACAAAAAAGTCCAGGAACTCCTGAAATCTGGCCCTGGGCAAATTTCAAATGATACTTAAAGTGCTTTGACTTCCTCTGGGCCCCACTGAAGCGTGTCCTGATGTTACTGGTACAGTGCCAAGCACAGGTGAGGCCTGCGGCAGGATTTTGTGCTGTTGTCACTGAGGATTTTCTCCCTGAGAGGTTGCTCATCTCCTATTTTGGGGATCATAAAAATGCCGTTTTTCTCCCAGTAATCAACTCCCTTAGTTTAAATTGCCACCTTAATTTGTCTATTTTTCTGTTCTCCCTGTTCAAGTGTTATAGGCCAGCATAGAATCTATGAGAGAAAGTATTTCAGAAAGTTGAAGGTTATACTGAATCTGAGATAGTTTCTTATAATTATGGGCTAAAGCACTAGCTTAGCCTAGTGGAAAGAGCCCTGATCCCAGCTTCAGATAGACTCACCACTTTTCACAGAGTCATAAACTTCTGACACTGCAGTGTATTGAACGGATTGATAAGTGACTAGTCAGAACACATCTGCACGTTTGAGCCGTAGGAGATCAGATGCATAGGAGCACAAATGCTTCTTCCTCTTTTCTTTTAAAGTCATCTGGAAAGATCTTGTACCCTTGAGGACTCCTGTCTGCTAGTTTATGAAGATGGAGCAGGGATAGGGAAGAGACGAGAGCCACTTTGCGGTTGAAATGCATTAGAGGAGCTGCTGGGGTAATGGGAATGGAGGCCAGTTGTCTGGAATCAGTTGCTGGAGAGCAGTGGCTGAGGTTAGCCTGAGGCCTGGCTCCATTTTCGAAGGAAGTGTCTGGTGGGGTGAAACCACACAACTGTAAAGCCTCAAGATGGGGTCTGGGGGACCTGATAGCAAAATCTGTGTAGGTGCCCCAGATTGTATGTTACAATCATTTTGCTGGTCAGAATCCTGTGAATGAGTCGTCAATAAAATTACTAATGGTTGTTGTAGCTGTTGTGAATGTTTTTTTTTGTTTGTTTGTTTTTTTAATGTTTTTGTTTTTTATTTATATCTGTGTGCATCAGGTGACACACAGAATTTCCCAGACTAAGGATTGAACTTAGGCCCGCTGCATTGGAAGTGAAGAGTGCCAACCACTGGACCACCAGGAGAATCCTGTTGTGAATGGTTTTTTCTGTGGGTGTATGTGTGTGAATGTTTTAATATTTACTTTGTGATTGTTTCTGGTATAGAGGAATGTTGTTGATTTTTACATGTGTTATCTTTGTATTTCTTCTGGTGGACAGTCCAGGATATAAATTATTTCTTTCCAACAAATCTGATCCCATGACAGCTCTCATATGAAACATATTTCCTTGGTCTCTACTGTATATAATCATTGGAATAAATAAAAGATAATTCAGTATTTGTTGGTTTGGGGAGAGAAGGAAGCAGGGAGAGAAGATCTAAATAAATTATTGTTTAATGTTATATTGAGAATATTTTACATAGAAACATTACTTACAAATCTCACTTTGTGCCCAAATTTAAAAAATTTTATATGGTATATTTAATAGGTGCAATAGATGTGAAGTATAGGAAGGCATAAAAGTGAACCACTTATCCTTAGTTTAAGAACCAGAACATTACTAGGAACCTTTCAAGCTCCCTATGTATCCCTCCTGGATCCTTCTCCATAGAAGTAACTCCACCCCAGGTGCTCATCTCTTGATTGTTGTAAATTATCATTTCTTCTTTTCTATATTTTATGTTTTTGGCTGCCCCATGTGGCTTGGGGGATCTTAATTCCCAGACCAGGGATTGAACCCAGGCCACTGTAATGAAAGCACCAAGTCCTAACCACTGGACCACCAAGAACTTCCCTCTTTTTATTTATTTTTGGTTGCACTGGGTCTTCACTGCTACGTGCAGGGTTTTTCTATTTGTGCTGAGCGGGGGCTACTCTTTAGTTCTCGGGTGAAAGCTCATTGCAGTGGCTTCTCCTGTTGTGGGGCAGAAGTTCTAGGCACACAGGCTCAGTAGTTGCAGGGCACAGGCTTAATTGCCTTGGGGCATGTGGGATCCTCCTGGATCAGGGATCAAACCCATGTCCCTGCATTGGCAGGCAGACTCCCAGCCACTGGACAACCAAGGAAGTCCCAACTTCTACCATTTGATAATGGTAGAGCCCACACGTTGCAACACTTTTCCCTCACTTAATACATACTTGGTGTATATGGGGAATAGGTTGGTGGAGTAAATGGGAGAGAAAAGAGACTAAGGAAAGACCAAGTTAGGGGTTTTGGTGACTGGATAGATGCTGACATAAATTTACCTAAAATGCAGGAGGCAGAACAAGTGTGGGGAGAAGGACGTGTGATGTTTTAACTGCCTGGAGGACACTGAGGTGGGCATTTGACCTCCAATTCTGGGTACAAAACCATTCCTTCCGTTTGTAACCACTCTTAGGCTAGTTGCTTAATTCACTAGTCTATTTTCTCACCTGAAAATGAGATAATACCTGCTTCATAGGGCTGTCATGAAGAAGAAATGGAATGCTACCCGTTGGTCAGCCCACGATCGCCTCCCATCTCTGAGATCCAACACTTGACCCCCAGCGGTGGCCGCTGCTGCTGTTCTTGTACTGTGCGGCTCTCCTACTCGGTTTCCTAGGAGACCGCACTCCCGGGAAATAAAGGTAACATCAGATGTGGCACAAGCTTCTGATCCCACCTGCACTGCCCAGGTTTCCAAAGCACCGCATGACAACATGGTAGAAACTACCTTGTACCTGGTACTGTCTCCACAAGGCCAGTGATTGTCCAGAGTTAAGAAACTGTTCTGGGGACTTCTTGGTGGCCCAGTGGTTAAGAATCCACCTTTCAATGCAGGGTACTCACATTTGACCCATGGTCAGAGAACTAAGATCCCAACTAAGAACTTAGTTGCCGAGGAGTAACTACGCCTGCCAACCCAACAAAGACAGTGCAGCCAAAAGAAAAGCAAGCAAACAAAAACCTGTTCTGCAGGTGTGTGTGAGTGTGCAATGTGTGATGTATGTGTGTGCTGTATGTGCCTGTGCAGAGCAGGGGGTGAACAGTTTCCTCTCAGCCCCTTCCTGAATCAGGAAGAGAGACAGCCCAGCTCTTTCTCTGGAGCCCTGTGACCTCAAGGATCAGATGCCCTTGTCAGTGTTCAGGGCCAGAAAGCTCAGGCATCAGACAGACCGGGTCACACTCTGGACTCTCTCTGAGGTCAGCTTCCTTCCTGTGCTACACATTTGTCATCGTTCGGTCACTCAGTCATGTCCGACTGCAACCCCATGGACTGTAGCACGCCAGGCTCCTCTGTCCTCCACTGTCTCCTGGCATTGGCTCAAATTCATGTCCACTGAGTCAGTGAAGGACTCCACTGCAGTATTCCTGCTGGGAGAACCCCATGGACAGTATGAAAAGACAGCATTTGTAGAGGAAGCCAAATGCTTTAAGCTCTGAGGAGCACTATCTGAGCGTGTCTGAGCTCTGACTGTCTTAGACCTTCAATCTCACCTCACACTTAAGAGGCAGCCAGAGGGCTAAAGAGGAAGTGGAAGGGGGCCTAGCCCTGGGCAGTGGGCTTGGGAATTATAGAACAGGGGGAGGGGGGGGAATATAGGGGGTAGATCTCACCTCCTGGTCCCCCTGTAGGTACCTAGGCCTCTCTAGAACACTTGCTGGGGCATCAGGGCCCCATGGCCCCAAACCCACACAAGCTACCATGGTTCACTGCCCTGGCCGCTGGCCTCAACTTCTTGTCTCCTCCCACAGGGAACCTGTGGTCTGAGGAACTGCGGATATTCTGGGACACATGGCTGAGGAGACATGGCCAGTTTCAGGCACATCAGGCACCCTCCCCTTCCCTTCTTGGGACAGACTTCCCAGGAGGTGGGATGAGAAGGCTGGCCAGAGTCACATTTTACAGACTCAAATAGAGGTTCCCAGGTGCCTCAGCAGTAAAGAATCTTCCTGCCAATGCAGCAGAAGCCAGAGACGTGGGTTCAGTCCCTTGGTTGGGAAGATCCCCTTGTATAGGAAATGTCAACCCACTCCACTGTTCTTGCCTGGGAAATCCCATGGACAGAGGAGCCTGGCATGCTTCAGTCCGTGGGGTCGCAAAGAGGCAGACATGACCGAGCACACACACAAGCAAGCAAGTAGAAGATAAACCCTTTAATTTGTTTCTGAAAAAATAAACCTCAGTGGATCTTTCTTCCCCAAAGACATGGTGGCCTCTAGAAAATAGTGGTTCCTGTGATTTATAAGATGAACTTTCAGAAAAGTATTCCCACAGAAATAACTTTTGTTCATAAAAATGATTGATCTTTGGTGGCTCAGTATCAGTCTGTGACCACCTCTAGAAACAGTGTCATCAGCTTAGCTGTACAAGGGGAAAGGTCTTGAGAAACACCTTGTGCCCTGTTCAACCTGTCCCCACTGCTGGCCCCATCCGCTCCCTCTGGGGTCTGCTGGCCTCTCTGGCTGCATCTGTATCTCTCCACCTGGCTATCCCAGCATGTCCATCTGTCCCCACTCTGCCCATTCACATGCTGTCTGTCAGCCTCTCCATTAGATGATCACTGGACCATCAGGAGAAACAAGAATTCTGTGTGTCTGTCTTGTCAGGTAGCTTTGCCATCCAAGCAGGTTGGTGGGCCTGGTGCTCCCACAGAAGTCTGCAGACCAGGCTGGCAAGGGCTTCCTTTTTCCAGGAATAGTTGCTACAGGAATGCTTTCCAGGTCACAGGTTGCCCAGCGCTGGGTAGTCAGTGGCATAGGCCTCTCTGAGATGTCCTGAGGTCAACAGGTAAGACATGAAAGGTGGAGCCCAGGCCACTCCCTCCCTTCAGGAGAGTCACTGAAGACTCCACATCCCTGGGGAAAAGACAGGTCGTGTTTAAACGGTGAGGCAGGGGTGCCAAAGGGCTGAAAAAGGGGAGCCCAGAAGATGCTGCTCCTGACGTGCCGGCTCACAGGGTCTCAAATTCAAGCCAGAGTGTAGCTGGTCCGCCTGCAGGAAAGAGAAGAGAAAATTCCGAGAGGAGGATGAGGGTGGGCTGGGGCGGGGAAGTGTCAGTGGCTGCCCCTTGTCTCCTGAGCAGCTCTTCCCCTGCTCAACCCGGAGAACAAAGCTACAGCCCTGTTCCTCCAGGCCCCACCCATGTGTCATTCCCCAAACACAGCACATGATCTCAGTACGAGGGGCTGGAGTCCCAGGCCGTCCCCACTGAGCACTGAGGGATCCATGATGGAGCCACTTCCTGGCCCTATCCTGTGTGGGCCTCTGCCTGTACACGGGCTCTTGTTCTTAAGTTTTTGAGCATGTGCAAAAACATGGACACAGCTTGTGACTGTCTGCTGGACCAGAAGTGTTGACACTGCAGTGCCTGCTTGGACTCTGGCTCTGGGCTGAGCTCCTGGGACACAGAAATGAAGAAAACAGCCCCCTCAGCTGTCAAGGTCCCCACAGTCAACTGTAAAAGCCAGGCAGTGAGCAGATCAGCCCCAGGGCAGTGGGGTCTGTGCTTCCAAGTGGGAAGAACGAGGTGAGAGAGCGGCTCAGGGCAGATGGTGTGGGGAGGAGTGGAAGATGACCCTGGGGTTTCAACCCCTAGGGTGGAAGGTGGTACCGTTCACTGTGGTGCAGCAAGAGCCGAGATTGGAGAACAAAGATGAATTCAGTTTGGGGCCCATTAAGACAGACTGACTGCACTTTCCCAGTGGTACAGTGGATAAGCATCTGCCTACCAATACAGGGGACATGGGTTCGATCCCTGGTCTGGGAAGATTCCATCTGCCACAGAGCAACTAAGCCTGTGGACCGCAGCTAATGAACCTGGGCACTAGATCCCGGGAGCCACAACTGCTGAAGCCCTCGCACCCTAGAGCCCGTGCTCTGCAACAAGAGAAGCCACCACAATGAGAAGCCCGAGCACCTCAACTAGAGAGCAGCCCCTGCTCACCGCAACTAGAAAAAGCCCACGTGGCAGAGAAGACCCAGTGCAGCCAAAAATAAACGAATTTTAAAAAAAAAGACTCCATGCTTGTGGAACATCAGGTCCACCTGAGGACTGTGCACATCTGCGTGCCTCCCCAGGTGCCCTGCAGTGTATACCCGTGAGCGCTGGTGCCTACCTCCCCAGGGAGCGGGAGTTGGCCCGACTTGGCACCTTGGGAGTGGGACCGACCATGAGGATGCACAGACCAATGAGGATCATGCTGGTGGGCACTGCACCGATGAGGACTTTGAGGGTCACCACCACCTGCTCCGACTGCCTGCAGCCTCCTGACTCGTACCCTGCGAAGCTGGAGAAGCCCCCACCCTGAGCTTCCAGTTCAGAGCCTCCTGATGGAAGGGTCCCAGGTGCCCAACCCCCACCCTATCCTGAAACTTGGATTTGTTTTCTGGCCAAATCAGTCTAACTAGGGAGGGAGGGAGTGTGAGGGAACAGGCAGACCAGGGAGGGGTTCAGAGAGAGCTGAGAATTCGGGGAGTGGAGGTTTCAGAAGGGGTATAGCTGCTGAGACCTGTACCCCTTCCGGTCACGTGCACAGAGAAAGCTGATGGGGGTTCCCACAGACTCCCCAGACTCGTGGGTGGGCCCTGGCTGGCTCAGGTGGGGGACTTTGCCCTTTGCTTCCCACGCCACTTGTCTTCTGTGCCTCTGGGACAGCCTGACTCTGGGACTCACTCCAGGCTGAGAGTGGAGATGCCCAGGGCGCCTGCTCCCGAAAGCTTGGTGAAGAAGACATAGGATGAGTAGAAAATGGTCTCCAGGCCTGGGCCATGCTGGTGCTGCAGCTGGAAGTCATCGACCACATCCGGAAGCATGGACCTGGGGGCAGGGGCTGCAGAATTACGTCTTTTATCTCCTTGGGAGCTGCCAGCCTGAGGGCTCTTTGGGGACAAGGACTGAGTCAAATTCACCCCTGGGTCCCCGCTGCCCAGCACCAGGACTGGTTCAAAGAGAGTCAGGCAGTAAAAGTGCTGTACTTCCCTGGTGCCTCAGACAGTTAAAAATCTGCCTGCGGTGAAGGAGACCTGCATTTAATCCCTGGGTGGGAAGATCCCCTGGAGAAGGGACAGGCTACCCACTCAAGTATTCTTGGGCTTCCCTGGTGGCTCAGATAGTAAAGAATCCATCTGCAATGCGGGAGACCTGGGTTCAATCCCTGGGTTGGGAAGAGCCCTGGATGGGGGCATGGCAACCCACTCCAGTATTCTTGCCTGGAGATTCCCATGAACAGAGGAGCCTGGTGGGCTACAGTCCATGGGGTCACATAAGAGGCAGACACGATTGAGTGACTAACATTTTCACTTTCTTTTCACTTTTTCCCCAACACACTTTGGCAGCCTCTACCCCTGAAATGGGGAGAGCCTGTCCCCAGGGGGAGGGTCCTGGGACCGCAGGTTGAGATGAAGGAGAGATACCCACTGGGAAGGATGGGAGGCCCCTATTCCTCGTGCCCCTGACCCAGCCTACCAGGGTAGCAGCAAGGACACAGCAATGCTCAGGCCAGACACAAAGGCCACGACATATGCCACGGGCACCATGGGCACAGCAGCCAGCAGGATTGCAAAGGGCACCATCGCCTAGGGAGACAGACATGCTGGCGCCTCCTCCACTTGTACCCCTGCCCCACACACACTCATAGATGCTCTCAGATTCATGCACTCACCAGTCCTTACTAATGCTCCCTGAGCCTGGCGCTGGGCTAGACACAGAGGATGCGAGAATACACCTCCCCCTCAACACCACCCCAGGCCTGGCTTCCTGCCTCACTCACACAGATCCCGAGGGCTGACATCCTCTTCCCAAATCGCTGCAGAACCCACTCCCACATCGGGGTGCTCAGCACTGCCGAGACCTGTGAACGGACAGAATCGCCATAGCCCAGGATGCCTTGCCGGGGCCTCTGCCAGATTCTCAAATGCTGTTTTTAGGTGGGACACCCGATGTTGACCTTGTCCTTGGTTGGAACCAGTGGCTGAACTTTACGAACTTTATGACCCTGACCCCAATTCCACCCTCTGCTGAAATGGTGGCACTAGTGGTAAAGAACCTGCCTACCAATGCAGGAGACATAAGAGACGTGGGTTTGATCCCTGGGTTGGGAAGATCCCCTGGGGAAGGAAATGGCAACCCACTCCAGTATTCTTGCCTGGAGAATCCCATGGACGGAGGAGCCTGGTGGGCTACAGTCCATAGGGTCGCAAAGAGTCAGACACGATTGAAGCATCTTAGCAAAAAGCCCAAGCAGAGTCCAAAATACTGACCACCAGACCTCCATCACACAGGTCACGTCAAGGACCACACAGCCCTGACTCAGGCTTCTCGCCTCCACCACCCCATGTCCCCTCACCAGGATGGTCAGCACCATGCCCTGGACGTGGTCTTGAAGCTGGGAGGCGTGTGTACAGAACAGGACCAGGTAGCTCTGCTCCACCTGAGGAGTCGACAGGAAGTAGGCGTGTACAGGAAATGGCAGAAACGTGGAAATTAAGGGCAATGCTGAGGTCTCGAGTCGGGCCTTCCCTTTGGGCCTCCAAGCTCTCGTTTCTGCCACTATCATGCAATCCCTTCCCCAACAATGGAGTCTTATCCCGACACAGGTTTAAAAACCATTCCTAGTCTGCTCCTAGCACAGCTGAGATGGATGGACTTTACCACCCCAGACACTTCCTGGTGTCTGGGCCCTGACCCTCCCCAGTCCCACTAGATCTAGGTAGGTTTCTCTACTCCCAGCATCAGCCTTACCAAGCCCTTGCCAGCCACTGGTTTCCCTGTGGTATGGTGGAGACGAGAGTCTAACCTGAACCTATGCAAGCTCAGTATGACCAAAGCCCAGCCAGTGGGGATCAGCCTGGCCAGACATACCTGAACAGCTGCTGAGATGAAGAGGAAGGAGATGACCAACTTCAGATAGGGCCGATGCCGGACTGTGAGACCCAGCCCAGTCAGGAAGCCCAGGCCCTGGCCGGATGCTGGGGTGGAGGGGTCTGTAACATTGGAAAGGGACATCTTGGATTGGTGGAGTTCAAAACCAAAACTCATGCCCGAGAGGAGTGGCCAGCTTCTGCTTCCACACTCTGTCTGCAGCCCTGTACCTACCTGATTGCTCCTTCACCCCCAGGTAGAGCAAAGTACTGCACACTGGGTAAGTCAAAGCAACCACAGCGGCTGCAATGAAGTAGAGACGAGTCTGTGGACAGGACAGAACTTCAGTGGGGGTGATGTCTCCAACCCATGGAGGTGGGGATACCCAGGGGTCTGGCAGGAGTGCCTTCCAGTGGGAGCAGAGGGACCCTCAGTCCAAGTCCAAGGATCCTGGATGCTCTTCCTCTCCATCAGCCCACAGGAAGGGGAGATCTAAGGGACCAGAATGGTCCTTCCGCTGACCCTGTGCCTACTGTGGGCATTCATGTAACCATGAGTCAAATCCCTCCCTCCCTCTCTCCCATTTTTTTTAAGCAAACATTCATTGCTTCTGACTTCCATGTGCTAGACCCTGAGTTTACAGTGATGAATAAGTGTGCATCCACAGTAAGGGGTTTGGGGTAAGGGAGAGACAGATCCATGAACAGACAGTTACAGTGTGATGTATAATGACACAGAAAATATCGAAAACAGAAACGATGCCACTGAGCATTCAGAGGAAGACACACGTAAGGCCTGCATGGGAGTAACAGTCACCTAGTTCAGGATAGGGGTTGCCTCTGGCTGGGGAGGAAGGAGGGAGACGCAGAGCTTCACCAGTGTGAGGGGTCCCACATTCAGAAAGCACTACACTTGGGAGTCCATGCTCCGATCTCTTGAAATTCGGGATGGTTTTATATATAAATTTGTGTTTTGTAAGTGAAGTCTACAGAACAGCAGAGCTGGAACTAGCATGAGGCCCCTGGATGCGTCTCACCTTGGCTCACAGCCTCATGTGAGCCATGAGGACATGAGGGAGGACAAGTTCTCAGCTTCCTACTCCCTACTTCTTGCAATCCTATGCCCCACCTGGCCTCCTGCTCTCCCACCCAAGGGGAGCTCCTCAACCCTGCTCCCCACTTCTCCCCTCTGTTCCACTATCCTCACCTGGATAGTGACCCAGAAGCTTTGGGGAGGGGCCTTGTAGAGGCTTCCCTGGTGGCTCAGATAATAAAGAATCTGCCTACAATTCAGGAGACTTGAGTTTGAGCCCCGCATCAGGAAGATCCCCTGGAGAAGGGAATGGCAATCCACTCCAGTATTCTTGCCTGGAGAATCCCATGGACAGAGGAGCCTGGTGGGCTACAGTCCATGGGGTTGCGAAGAGTTGGACATGACTGAGCGACTTTGACTCTCATTTTTTTTTGGGGGGGGGTGCCCTGGGCTTGGACGCAGGGAGGGTAAAACTGTAGGCCACAACCCCTCTGATCCTGGGCTCTTAGCACCATGGTAGGCTTTGAGGGCAATGGGGCATAGCCTCTCACCCACCCAGATCCAGGCAATCCCTTGACTGGGGCAGTGGGCCATGGGAAGGGGAGGTTGACTCCCTGCCCTCTCTGGGGCCCTACAGCTTCATTTCACACTGTACGGAGGCATATTCTGTAGCTGGGCTGCAGATGGCCTGCGGATCTCTACACAGGACTTCTTTTTTTTTTTTTTTTTCTTCACAGGACTTCATTGTAGTGTTTTCTTACAGGCAGTGAACTGTGGGTGCGTGATGCTGGCACTATTCTCATAACATCAATTCTCAAATGTTGGTGGAGGTCAGTGATGTCATTTGCTTAAGGAGAAGAGGGGGAATAGAAGATGCACTTGACAGATAAATAGATGAACATCTCCTAATTCCTGAAAAGGGAACGGCTTTGAGGGGAGAGGATGGGGTACCGCCCCCAGGTTTCCCCTCTCCTTTCATACTGTGGGTGGGGTTGGGGGGACACTTGTTCAGGGCTGGGTGGCACTGCTCATAGGATGGGTTTTGCCCAGAGCTCTGCAAGGACACTAAACCCTCTGGCTGTCTCTCTCTCCTGCCCCTGCCAGTGATCCCTCCCTACCCTGTCCCTTCTCTGGGGTCCACCTCCTCCCCTCCAGATGACCTGCTGGCCTGTTGTTTGACTCCACGTTTAGAAGGCACCCAGCAGGAGAAGCAGATTTAGCAGGAAGGATGGGGGACATGGGCTCAGCGCAAGGGGCGGGGAAGGAATGAAAGAGCCTGGTGGACAGAGCTGAGCCCCAAACAACCATGAAGAGACCTGGGGGAGAAACGTTCCTCAAAGAGAGAGGTGATCTGGAAGAGGGGGCCCAGTGGCTCTGGGCAGCCTGGACACTCACCGCGTTGGGGGAGACAGCCACCTCCCCTGGGAGCATGTCCTCCTTGCACCTGTGGGACCCGTGTGCACCAGACACAATGAGTCCGTGGACGGTGGCTCCCATCAGCGTCCCCACCATCTCCAAGGTCATCCCTGGGGCACAGCACGCAACAAGGTGGCTGAGCTCGTGGGGCTGGGCCAGAGCTACCCCCTCCCACCCGACCGCACGCCCGCCTGCACTCACGGTACGCAGTGGCCGAGTCCCGCTCCTTGGGGTTTGGGGTCAGCAGCATGGTCAGCGCCGTGTAGGGCACCTGGAAGAACTGTGGGACCAGGCAGAGCTTAGGATGGTGCCCACTGCCAGGTGGCCAACCCAGGTCAGCAGCTTCCCCAAGCCAGACCCGTGCCAGGCTGGCGGGTCCCTATAGATCCCCTCGACCTGGAGTCAGAGGCTAAGGAGCAGGAGGGGCATCTGGCCTAGAGCCCACAAGAAAAGTTAACAGCCAGTCACCACCTGGTGAGCAGGTGGGCAGCGGGCACCCCCAGCGCGCACACACACACACACACACACACACACACACACTTCAGGGAGGCCTCCTGCTGGCATGGGGTTCCAGGAGTCCAGACCCGGGAAGGGGCCCACCTGCTTACCGTGGCCAGGGCTTGGAACAGGCAGTAGAGGGTCGTGTACCAGAGGCCGCGCAAGGTGGAGAAGGGGGGCAAGAACCACAGGAAGAAGTAGGCCAAGGCAATGAAGGGTGTGCAGCCCAGCATCCTGCGGAAGCACAGCCAGGTGGGGCGCCCTGCAGCACCAGGACGGGGGTCCCCAGGGGCCTGGAGCAGCCTCGCCCGGCCCTCGGCCCTGGAGGAGTCCCGGTCTGGGGCTCAGGGCGGGAGCCACGGAGGGGGAGAGGTGGCTGAGGGGATGAGGAGGTCCTTGGGAGTGGGGGCCGGGGCCCTTAGGGGGTCCCATGGGGCTGCATGGGTGCGTGCTGAGTCACTCAGTCGTGTCCGTCTCTTTGCCACCCTATGGATTGTAGCCCACCAGGCTCCTCTGTCCATGGGATTCTCCAGGCAAGAACACTGGAGTGGGTCTCCATGCCCTCCTCCAGGGGATCTTCCCAACCCAGGGATCGAACCCCTATCTCTTACATCTCCTGCATTGGCAGGTAAGTTCTTTACCATTGGTGCCACCTGGGTTGGGTGGCGCCATTCCCCATAGCCAGGAAAGTCGCATCTCCTCTGTGAGACCTTCCAAGCCATCCAGCCCCGCCTGGCCACACTCCAAGTCCCCCAGGGCCAGGCCTGCGGCTCTTGTCCAGCTCTGTGCCGCCCGGTGAGGGAGAGGTCCCTGAACACCTGCATGACTCACTCAGACCCATTCCATTCCTGTCACCACTGTCCAGACCTGACCTCTAACCACCCATAGGATTTTCCACTAAGAAGCAGCTGTGAAAAATGCAGAGATCTCAAGCAGGGGTGGGTGCCAGGACCCTAAGGACCGTGGGGCTGCTCACCAGGGCATGAGTCGTCCAGACCCTGTCCTCCTGCTTCTGTTGATGAGAAACCCAGCCAAAGGGTCTGCAGCTGCCCCAGACACCTTCCCTCCAAACAGGACCAGTGACACCTGGGCAGCAGGGATCTGAAAGGGACAGAGGAGGGGACAGCCAATTTCCTGCACAGTCAGTGAATGTGTCTGGACCTGCCCACCAATCAGGAGAAAGACCTTTCCCTGGAAACTGGCTGGGGCCATGGCCATGCTGTAAAGGTCTATTCAGTCCCTCCTCCAGGACAGGAATCCAGACAGCTCTGAAGACATCTGTGCACCAGTGGGGAAGGGATGGGGGGGACAAGAAGGGGAGAGCCAGTGCACACTAGCACATTCCTGTTATACTTATACCCAGTCACTTTAGGAGAAGACTTGAGAGACGCTCCCCTGAGGTGGCTCAGTGCGGGAAGGGTGCACTGAAGCTGACAGTCAGAGGCAGAGCTTGTGTTTTACAGTGAAAATGGTTTATTGATTTTTCTGATTACATAAAGTGATAACACATTCATTATACACACATTCAAACAGTTCAGAAAAATATCACGCAAAGCTCATCTGAAACTCCACCATCCTGAGACAACTGCCAGGAGCGTTTTGATCATTCTTTCCTTCCTTTCCTTATGTGCATTTGTGATTTATAATTTTATACAAATGGGAGACCGGTGTCATTTAAAAAATCATGGAAAATAAGTAAATAGTAGATACTTTACTGAAAGTTTTTGTTTATGCTCTATCCGCCACCAGTCCCTCCTATAGTCGGTATTAACATACTTGTGGACGAATGTCCTCTTGGAATATACTTTCTCCATGCTCATCCTTTAATCATGTTGCTGTACAGTTGCTAAGGTGTCTGACTCTGTGGCCCCATGGACTGCAGCACGCCAGGCTTCCCTGTCCTTCACTATCTCCCAGAATTTGCTCAAACTCATGTCCATTGAGTCAGTGATGCTATTCAACCATCTCCTTATACCTACGCACTCATATATATAGGGCATGTTTTTGTTTTGTTCAAATGGGATCTTTTTATGTATACCCTTCTCTAAAACTAATTTTCCTCACTTGACAGTGCATCATGGAAATTCTTGGGAGTCAACTGGTATAGCTCTAACTCATTTTTTTGAGTGACTACACACTACTCCATTATGTGGACATAGTCCAACTTACTATTGAATTACATCTATAGTTGGGGGCATTCATGTTGTTCCCCATTCTTCTACTACAAACAACCTGCAAATAAACATCTTTCAAGAGGTTGCCCTCAACAGCATTTGGTGTTTCTCAGCCTTGAGTCAGAAGTTCCATTTACCAAGGATCGTGGCGGTGGAAGTAAAGGCAGGTTGAAAGGACCAGACATCAGACATGGGAGTAGGGGGCCCCAAGACTGCTGCCCACACTCACCTGTGCCACATCGAGCAGGAAAAGTTGCAGGTAAAAGGCTATGGCGCTGGAGGCCACCTGGTTGGGAACCCCTCCAATGCCATAGCACAACTTCCTATAGAATGAGAGGTGACCAGCTCCGCTGTCCTGGGGGAGACACAGGAGCTCAGCCCCCACAGGTACCAACCACTCCCTCCAGCCCCCTGACTTTCAAAAGTTTCCTGCAGCCCTGTCTTGAGGGCTGTTCCAGCAACCTCTCAGTCCTAGTTGCTCTCAAATTATCTTAAAAGAAGTGAGACAGGACTTCTCTGGCGGTCCAGTGATTGAGAATCCGCCTGCCAATGCAGGGAAAAAGGGGTTTGATCCCTGGTCCAGGAAGATTTCACCTGCCTTAGGGCAATGAAGCCTGTGAGCCACAACTACTGAGCCTGCGCTCTAGAGCCTGTGCTTTTCAACAACAGAAGCCACCGCAGTGAGAAGCCCAGGCACAGAAACAAAGGGTAGCCCCCGCTCGATGCAACCGGAGAAAGCCCGAGCACAGCGATGAAGACGCAGTGCAGTCAACAACACACACACACACAAAAGAAATGAGACAGAAGAAGGGGGAGAAAAGAAAAAACAAACAAACCCTAAACCGTGACTTCTAAGCATTTCCAGGGGGAAGTTTTTCCTTATATTTCCCCCGCCCCCAGTGCTTTTTGCTGCAGTCTGTTTTCTTAGTCAGCAAGCTAGAGTGAACTAGGGGGGTCAGGAGGCCCCTAACTTTGCCACGAGCTTCCTGTGTGTGCCTTTGAATAAGTCACTTTATCTCTAAGCCTCATCTGTCAATTGGAATATTCCTGCCAACTTCAAGGGATGTTTTGATGAGCAAATGAGGCCATGGCTCTGGGAGCTGATTGTTAAATGTTCAGGACTTTTGCAAGCCAGTTGTTGAACCACTGGCAGCCTGAAAGCCACGGGGAGAGTATTTACACCACAGAAATCAGCAAACAACAAACATCAGAGCAAAAATGAAATAAAGGTTATATGTATACCCACACATATATATTTGGGGTTATCTATATCTATATCTATATCTATATCTATATCTATATCTATATATCTCCCTAAGCATTCAGGGAACTCCAGACTCATAATTAGACTGTCTACTCACAGCCCCACATGGTTGCCAAACAGGCATTCCAGCTTAGTGTGGTCAAAACACAGCTCCTGATTTCCATCCCATTGTTTTAATCTCCTAACCCTACTGTCCTCATTGCATCAAATGGCCCCAATGTTCACTCAACAGCTCAGGCCACAAACCTAGGTGTCATCCTTGAGTCCTCCTTGCCAATTTCTCTGTCTAATGTATTAGTGAGAGTGTCTTCTCAACTTCTACTCCCATTCCCTACTATCCACTTTCTGTCCAGCAGTCAAAGTGATCTTTTCATAACATAAATCAGATTGTGTCTCTTCTCTGGTTAAAACCCCCCAACAACTTGAAATTACAGTTTGAATAAAACTCCAAGTCCTTCCCATATAACCTGCAGGAGCCCACTCAATCAGCTGTCACTCCTTTTCCCACCTTACTTCAGATAGCTTTCCTTAACCATGGTAGCCTCCATCCTGTTGCTCAAAATGACTTTGTCTGTTATTGCCTCAGGGCCTTTGCACTTCCTGTCCCTTCTGTCTGGACAGCTCTTCCTCCAGGTCTTTGCAAGAGCTGACTTCTTGCCATTCAGGCTGAAGCCTAAATGTCATTTCTTTAGAGGGGTCTTCCCTGACCACCCAAATTTCTCTCAATTGTACTCACTACAGGATATATTATTATTTATTTCTTGCCTCTCCCCACCAGCACATAAACTCTTTGAAAGCATGAACTACATAACTTTTATTTACCACCATGTCCCCAGTACCTAGAAAAGTGCTGGGCATGTAGATGCTCAATATATATTTGTTGAAAGAATAAATGACATGAAGATGCTGTGTAAAGTGCTATTTCTCCCAAAGATGCTGGGAATCTTTCTTTTTCATCTTTTGCCTGGAGATGGGAGGGGGAGTGGAGAGGTCTGTAGTTTCACCCAGTTTGGTATCTAGCCAGACACCCCAAAAGGACTCTTGAAAGGAAGGTCTTCCCAGATAAGGGTTTATCAAATTCTCTGCACTCTTTCCTACCCACACACCAGGCAGGATGTGGTCTCTTCTGACATTTTTGTGAACAATATTTCAACTTCCAGAAAATTTAACACCAGGCAGAATCCAACATGACACCCCCACCTCCCCACTCCCCAAACCCTCCATATAGGGATTCTGGTTTCCTCCTAAAGGTATCTATCAAGTTCTGGTACATAGTAGGCACATGAACATTTAAAAAATCTAGGTATATGATACAGTCTTGGAATCTTGAGGAATACCGCTTTACCTACTCAAATCATAAGCCCTTCACAGTCAACTGAGTACATGTTTCAGTTAGGTAAACTTGACAAATCTGAATGCAAATTCTCCGTCTGCCATTTCTAGCTGTGTAACCCAGGACAAGGTACTTAGTGTGGCTAAGCTTCATCCTGTGTACAATGGGGGTAATAACACTTCCTAGGGTTGCTATGAGAATTAAATGCTAGCGTTTCATGGCCAATGTTTCCTCCCTAACAATTCATGTCATCCTGAGTTTTTAAAGTTCCCTGGGAAATGAGAGTCCCCGGAGGGCCTCTTGATCTTGCTGTCTTGAAGCCCACTACCTTTTGGCTCGGAGGGGCTCGGAGGGGAAGCGCGGAGTCAGCATAGGGAACCGAGGAGGTGAAGTCAAGCCAGGGACAGAATGAAGGCGCAGCACAGAGGGGCAGTGGATTCCGCATCCAGCAGCGAGCTCAGAAGTCCTAACTCCTCTCCAACACAGCCACCCTAAATGACACGTGCCCGGCCCTGTCCAGGGGGTGGGGGGGAGGGAAGGCAGAGGGCCTGAGGCGGCCCCTGGATTCCCACCTGCCCTCCACCCTCACTTCGGAGCCTGGTTACCAGGAAGGGCTCCGGGTGCGGTGTCCGCTAGGAGAGTCTGGTGCCTGGAGGGAGCCAGGTTTGAGGGGGCGGCCAAGCCCATAGCACCTGCCTGGAGACCGGGGAAGGCGGGCCCAATTAGAAATTCTACCTGCCCGGGGTTCCAGAGACTTTGGGAAGACCTGGCGTGTGGTGGACAAGAGCCCTAGACTGTCCCTGACTGACTAGTTGAAGGAATCAGCAGCCTTCTGCGCTTGTCTAGGACTCAGTTTCCCATCTCTTTGGGGCTCCAGAATACCCCCAGCCTCTCCGCAGTCAACTGTCAATTGCCCCAGCCGGGGCAATTGAACAACCTGGAGGCTCGGGCGGGGCCGTGCGGGGCTGCGGCCGGCTGGCTGCGCCCAGATGCCCCGGGATGGGGGTGGGGGGTCGGCCCCCGGAGTCCCCGGCCCGGCCCCGCGCCGAAGCCCAGCGCCCCCTCCCCGCGCGCCCCTCGCTGTCCGCTCACCGAACCCTGAGCTGACGTGTGTGCTTCCGGAGAGGGCGACGGCGTCTCCAGAGACGGGCCCGGGATAGCCTCGCGGTACACGGCCATCGCGCACGGCCGCCAGCGCACCAAGGCCCGGGGTGTTATCGCCAGCCCGGGCCCGCGCGGAGGGCGGCTCCCCGGCCGAGAGGGCGCGGCGCGGAGGGGCGGGCCGACCGACGCGCCCCGGGCGGGGGGCTGCGCGGGAAAACTGGAAGGCGCGAAGTGCCGCGGGGTGGATTATCCGAAGGGAAAAACGCCAGAGCCCACATGTGCTGCGGGGAAAGGCTGGCAAGTGACTCGGGACCGTTTTCCTTGGGATCGGTCTCCGAGGGAGTGAGTCAGCAGCGGTTCTCACTAAACCCTCCTGCTAAATCCTTGTTAAAACCGGCCAAGTTCTTAGAAACAAGAAGCAATAGAATTGCTCAGACTATAAGATTAAAGCTGAGTAGGCTTACAACCCGCTTTAAAAAAACTGCTATCGGGTGCCCGAAATATACATTCTCCAACCTCTTAGAGATGACTGGTACAACCAGGTAACTAAGTTCTAGCCAGAGAATAAAAAACTTGTGTATGCAAATTTCCCAGACAGGTACTTAAAAGGGAAGGGCTTACACACATATAAAGATTAACTGAAAACCCACCACAGACCTATAGAGGCTGAGACTATAAAACTTAGATTTTGGCTTAGACAAGTATTTCTTGGGACACCAAAAGCCTAAGATGAGCTACAGCTAAATGAAAAACTTCTGTGTTGCAAGCCAAGCAACCAGTGAAAAGACAACCCACAGAATGGGAGGAATGTTTGCAAATCATTGTATTGGAATATATAAAGAACTCCTTAAACAGTAGAGCGATAGTACAGTTAAAAACTGGGTGAAGGACTTGAATAGATATTTCTCCAAGTCTATAAATGGGCAATAAGCACATGAAAAGACATTCATGTCATTAGGGAAACAAAGCTACAAGAAACCACTCTGTTAGAAAGGCTGTAATTTCAAAGACAATAACAGTGATTGGGAAGGATGTGGGAAATCATACATTACTAGTGGGCAGGTAAACTGTGCAGGTGCTTTGGAAAAGTCTGGCAGTTCTTCAAAAGTTAGGTATGAAATTATATGATCCAGCCATTCCACTTCTAAAGATGTAAGAGGAATGAAAACATGATCACACAATAACTTGAACACTAAGTGAAGAGAAATGAAGTGAAAGTCAGTCCTGTCTGACTCTTTGGGACTCCATGGACTGTAGCCTGCCAGACTCCTCTGTCTAAGGGAGTCTCCAGGCCAGAATACTGGAGTGGGTAGCCTTTCCCTCCTCCAGGGATTTTCCCCACCCAGGGATCAAACACAGGTCTCCCACGTTGCAGGTGGATTCTTTACCAGCTAAGCCACAAGGGAAGCCCTTGAGAACTAAAGAATTTATAATTAGCTAAAAAGTAGAAACAACCCAAATGTCCATCAACTAATGGGTGGATATTTAGGATGTTAGGAATATTCATACAATTTTATTCAGCAATAAAAAGGACATGGATGAACCTTGAAATTTTATGTTGTGGAAAAAAGGCTGGTCACAAAGGACAACAATAGTGTATGACTCCACTTACATGAAATGTACATAGAGGTAAATCTACAGCAAGAACCTAGACTTGTTGCCAAGAACTGAGGGTGGAGACAATTAAACAAAGTCAAGTTGAAGTTTCTTTGAATAATTTAATTTGAACACACTATATATGCAGTTTTAGGAGGTTTGAAAACACATCACTCACAATACTTTGTTGCATATACTACCACAAGTTTAATTTTGAAAGGAAGTGGGTGGGGGGAACCAAAAAAACCCCAAAACCCTCCTTCCCTTTTTTGCACAGAAATGTAACTAAAAGGCATTTCCCCCCATTACTATTCTATTTAAAGTGACAGTATAGTCCTAATAGAATTTTTAAGGACCAATAGAGTTCCATAAATAAAACAGGCCTACCATAACCAAGAAGTTTGTTTGTTTGTTTTTTGCTTATTTCAAAGGTTTATTCACTCAGTCGTCTCCAACTCTTTGCGACCCCATGGACTGTAGCCCATGAGGATCCTCTGTCCATGGAATTCTCCAGGCAAGAATACTGGAGTGGGTTGCCATTTCCTACTCCAAGAAGTTTGTTTTTTAAAACAAAACTGAATACTGGTACACTTAAAAATATCTGTAAAGATGCACACCAAAATGTTATTAGTGGTTATCTCTGAATGGCGGAATAATAGGTGAGCTAAAGTTCATTTCAGCATAACTGTATAATTTTCTCCAATGGATATGAATTGTCTATGTAAAAAACATACATTTAAATCAAATGACAAAGAGTGAAATTTTAGTCTACTGAATAAGCCACTTCTATTAGAAGATTCGGTGTGATGAGCAATGTTTAAAAGGCTTCTACTGAGAAAGAACAAAGGAGTAAATCATACTAAGGAGTCTTCAACTACATTGAAGTAGTTCGACTAAGGACACAAAGGGTGGTGAAAGAAATAAACACAACCACTGAATTTAAAAATATCACATTTTAACACTTCTGAGTATTAAATGAAAGTAACATTGGTTAAAGTACCTGGCAAATAGAAAGCACCTAATAAATGTTCGTTGATTCTCAAACTGAATGTCTTTGCAAATAAAAATGACAAATGCATCTATATGTAACTAATTTATAACAAACAAATATAAATTATTTCACAGATCCTTTTAATGAACAGTGTTTCATCTTTAAGACAACAGTTCTTTAACCATTATCAAGATTGCTTTCAAAATATTTTAAGGCACTGAAATAGATGCATGCATAATTTCAAGACAATTAAGTAAAATGAAAACTACTCTAAATGACAGAAGTATATAAAATAAATAAGACCACCTTTATAATCTGAATAATGCATAGTAATTTAACCAATAAATTAAAATTTGTAAAATTCAATATGTACTTCTATATAATAGGCCTAACAATGCTTTTAAACTGATTGAGGCCAGTTTTCAAACAACTACTTAGGTCAGATTGTATTCCACACCGAAGATGCTGGCTTTTTTTTTTTTTGGCTTATTTTCAAGTTTGCCTTCCTTTGCAAAATTCAGTTTGTTTTCTAAAGTCAACATGTTTGGACTATATTAGACATTTAATTAACAACTTTAGAATTTTAAACTTTCACATAAAAAGCTTTATGAGGTGGTTCTCACCTTAGAAAACCTTTGAGAATATCACCTGTGTTAAAGTTTTCACAGTTACAAAAATGAGGGTTATTGCTGATGATAGGTGTTTCTCTAAAGAACTTCTCACTGTGGTGTACTCTACATATACACCCAAGAAAACTTCCAATATGTCTTCTGGATAATAATTATGGTAAACTGGAAAACCCACAAGGGAGGCTTTTCTATACATATGAGAACAATATTTCCAACAAGAAGCCCCCTCATATAAATATATGGAGAATCACAAATTGACATATTTATGCAAAGGAAAATTATAAAATGCTTCATGATAGGCCTATATGAAACATTTTCTTACAGATTCTTGAAAATATATCAACAATTATGTTATTTATGATCTTAGCATCCCCTCACTTTTTTAAGAATGCCATTATTTTTGTTTCACTAGCAAGAGGGCTCTATCATGGCCGTAAACGTTACCGACAATAAATATTTTCTGTTTTGTGTCTGTTTATTTCTGAGGGTGAACGACAAAAGGAAAAGGCTCTCCTTTGTTCTCCCCCTCTCCCTGATAAAACGACAGAACTCTACCATGTGGAAAACTGAGAGCTAGAAAAGCAAGCATTCTCAAAATGGATTTCAAACAGAAGATATATCTTATAAACCAGGTCATCTAGTTATGTGTCTATTTCCCTTTTGTTATCCCTGAGCCTTTAATAAAAACCTCGATTAAATACTGCAGCCTTGTCTCAGCTGTACTTATAGAAGATAAAGCACAAGTTTATCTCACGATCAGTTCAGCATTAAGGGGTGGGGGGAGGGAAGGACAGTTTAAGAACAAACTGTGGGGGACTAGGATAAAACTTAAAGGTCTAACAGCCCCATTTCAGTCGGGTCTTAACACTGCCGTGGTGAAGCATGCAGGTTTTATTTTCGTAGGGTGGAAGCTTAGTGCAGGATTTCCTGAAGACAGGTTCTCCTACTACATACCTAAGAATTACTGGAGATTAAAAATGTAGAGATCTGGGACCCATCCCAAATACAACGAATTGTTAAAATGTGTGTGTGGTAGGTGGCAGGTAATAGGCATTCTGAAAAGCTTTTCAGGTGATCCTTATGCATTAAGGCTTGAAGATCACTGCAAATCACTGCTTTACAAGATTAGTTCTTTCAAGGGGTCTGCAAGGTCAAAACTATTTTCATAATTATATTAAGATGTTATTCTTGTTCTTTTTTCACTTTTTCATGAGTGTACAGGAGCATTTACTAGAGGGGACATGATGTGTGATATTGCAACAGACTGAATGTGGAAGCAAATGAGATCCCATCTGTCTTCTTTAAATCGGACAGTAAAGATGTCTGCAGAAAATAAAATACAATGCCATGTTTCCCACTCCGTCTTTTGACATTTTGGAAAATTGACATTTTTCATGAAAATGTTCTTTATGTTAACACATGTTTTTAGTGAATAAATATTTTATAACATTTCATTTTAAATATAACATTAATATGTACAACCCACATAAACAAAAGGTCTTGAGACCAAAAAGTTTGAGAACTGCTCTTTCCAGCAGGCATCCAGTACCCTATGAACATTACTGCTGATAGGCACGGTTGCTTCATTCCTTGGCACACTCAATGTATATTTACTTTAAATATGATTCAACAGATCATCTGCAAAAAGCTCCTTATTTTCAGGCAAGATGATTTAATCTGACAGTGAAATACTGAAGTCAAACCAGTTTTAGTTAAAAATCTAAGATGTGAAGCATGTTTTCCTTAGGGACATCTGAACGTAATAAACAATCCTTTAATACGTAAACAGGCCAACTGATGTATGAAATAGAAAACCACACTTCACATGATGCATTTTAAAAATGTTAATTAGTAATGTG